CTTTTACATGATTTCTATTCTAGGTCTTTTTGGCATAAGGATATTAAAGGAACAAATGATAAAACTTGAATGAAATCTGAAGATTAAATGGCAATAATGTATCAGTGTTAATATTCTGATTTTTTGCTTATATTTTAAATAAGTAGGAGGGTGAAAAAATACCACATTTACGAAGTGTGGCAGTCATTTTCATAGAGATTACTCTCTAAGTAGTACAGTAAAGGACACTTACTATCTAAACATACCATACAATTTATCAAACAGTAAGTATACACCCCAACATAACATCTTCATAAAGTTTTATGTAGCTGCTTTTTAGTACTAAAACACATTGTAAAACCTTATATAAAGTGTACCTTATAAAACATTCGGACATGGAAATTAAAACAGGATGACACGGAATTAAACCGATTCCAGGGTCACTGTGCACCACTTCACTGGAGGTCTCCATGAAAAGAACTGGCCAAAGGGGAGTGAGTCTGGCAGACCTATGTAGACAGCTTGAAAACGGAAGAGGCAACGGCAGTGAGGGAAGGAAAGAGACCCAAGCAAGGAGGCTTCTACACGGCTGAGGAGTGACCTGCTTTGTGAGAAAAGGACGGCTGATGCTGAGCACGGCTCCAGGTGCTCTGCCTGAAGAGTAATGGCGCAGGGACAGAAGAAAAAGAGGTGAGGAGGAAAAATAAGAAATACACAGCCTTCTCGGCGTATAGCAGTCACCAGGAACATGACTTTGACAGAGCTGTAACAAGCAGGAAGGGGAAAAGCTAACGCACGGCCACGGGCAGCTAGGAACCATCGCTACTGCAGACAAGCGCAGCGCCCGCCCCGACGACAGCGCCGTCAGCGCCTCTGCAGCAGAGCCCGGGGCGAGCTCCGGGTGCTGCGTGTCCACGGCCAGCGATCGCGAACCCTAACGTGACTGCCTGGCAAGGAGTGCAACACCAACGTCATACTGCATAGGGTCTGATGGGAGAGCCATTCTGCTTCTAGGTAAGCTGTTATTAAATTGATACTACATTTGGTAAATTGTTATTAAATCAGGAAGACTTTTGTCCTAGAAAAGTCCACAGGGCAAAAGTAAATAAATAAAACCCTGTCACTGGAAAGATAAACTCCTGGACAAACAGGAGCACTGTTGAGAGTATATGAGGCAATACATTACAGTTTTCCCCAATGCACAGAATTTGAGCAAAAACGTTAACAGTTAAAGTTTAAAGTGAAATGCTTGTGTAGGTGCTGGGTCCAATCCCTGGCACTGCTTCTACCCCACTAAAACACTGCAATGGGTTTTCAAGCCAACGTTTAACTATATATACTTGCTTTGTGCTTAGGAAATACTTCTACATGGGAGTCAAAGTTTTGAAGTAAAACTTGAGAACTGTTGTATTCAACACGAGAACCAGGAAGGAAGGAAAGACAGGACACACACACCTAACCATCTCTATTCACTTTCCTCCACCTAAATGTACTGCAACAGCTTCACTGCCATTCTGAAGGAAATTGGTATTTTCCTCTTAGCTTTCATATCGTTACATAATGCATTCTGTACCTCAATAACCCTATTTTAAGTAGGCCTCTCTCCCTTACCTTAGAAGATGAAGAATCACACTCCTGACATATCCATCCATAGCCTGTTTGTTTAGGAGACTTTTTCAAAGGAGGATCCAGGCAGCCAAAGTGGTAGCAGAGCCTGCATTCATCACACCTGCAGGGTAAACAGACTTATGGTGTATCTAAATACTACAAGGACAATCTGTTTCAAAGACAAACATGAGCACTGTCGTACACTTCAACTTTAACAGTTAATTCTATCCTTTGCTCACAAGATTATTAAATTAATATTTATGACAAAACATCTTTAACCTGAAATGTTTTAGAATAGAAGCAACCCTAATACAATTCACAAACAAGTACTATTTGAAACAATCTGATGGTAGAAATGTGAAGAGCGTGTGAGTGAACGCATGTGTATTCATGTGCTCAAAACTGACAACTTTTAACATAAAGATTAATCATGTGTCTCTTACTATAAAAATATTTCCTGGTATATATAATTCAATGATCATACATTCAATCTAAAACATTGTATTTATTTTCAAAACTTCGTAACTCCATAGAATTACACTAGGCAGCAATCAATGCCGTCCAAATTGTTTCATTTGCCTCTTTCCAAGTGATAGTAGATGTAGATGAATTCTCTAATGGTTACAGTATGCTAGCATAATCCACAGCAAATAAAAACAATTACAAATGTCAAATAACAGAATACTTAAGTATACAAAACGTTAAGAAATCACAATTAGCATTACTGTCTGTCACTTTTAGTGCATTTGTTTTCTCAAAGTACCTCCTAGTATACTGAAAATTTTATACTGTTTTGATAGTGTCTCACCACCTATGATGTACAAAATCTAAGAAAACTACCATACCTATTCTTCGTTTCAGACAATCTCATCCTGCTGACAATGAAGAAAAATGTGTATTATTTCAGTGTTTGCAAAAGAATCTACATCAACTGGAGTAACAAGACCAAAATTTAACAATACATAGCAGATGTATTCAACTTAAGAGAATGAGCTATACTCATTTTCTTTGTGCTTTTCATCCAAAAATAATTTTCTCAACCAATCTGTCAGATTCTCTTTATTGCTTGTCTCTTACGGATTTAAAACTCAAAGGACTCTAAACCAAAAACCCAAGAGGAATAATTTAGAAAACACGTATTACTTAAGTGCAAAATTACTATGAATTAACCTTTATTAGGAAAATAAGAGCTATTCTTAAACACTATACAAACTGACTTTAAGAAATCATCACAATAAAGGAATCTATAAATCTGTATTTTCAGTAAAAATTTCACATCATGATGTTAAAAAATCAATCACTGAAAGACTCATTTTGGAAATCCAGAGTTTCAGAAAAATCAAGAAACTTAGGTAAATTATCCGGTATAATGAAGTTTAAAACAGTATATGTCAATGTTTGTGCTTTTTTTCTCTAAAATTTATTCTTTATAAAGTGTAGAGATTTCTTTAAAAGTTTTAGACTCAAGAAATGAACTTTAAAATGTTTCCTGTAATTCTAGCTATAAAAACAAATAAAATCAAATACAGCTAAGGACTTCATTTACTAAAGCTAGTATTTCACACAAACCGTCAAAAATGCATTTAAAAGGAGTTAAAGTGTTAATAACTGTGTTTTAGCATTAAGACAAAATGTAGTATGTAGATAACTTCAAATGTAAAATAAAGATAACAAATGACAAGCTTACACAAGGTCAGGGTCTTTCTCTATAGGTCTTATTTACCTTTCAATAAAGATTTCAGTTATTTATAAACATGGGTATGAGAGTGCATACATTTCTGAGTTTATGAGAAGGTTCAGCTTTCTAGAAAGCTAAGGGTGTACTGCTTCAAACATGAAAGTAAACTTCAAAGATCTTCAAAGGGAAGTCTAAATGATGAAACAAATATATTAAATAGTTTATCTTCGTCATGTTAGGGTCATCAGCGTGAATTATAGATGCTGCTTTTGATATCTGGAGGGAATGCCATTAATGTGCTGTTTTGTTTCAGTTCTTATATCCAACTTTTCCCAGGTCTTCAGGGTCTTCACCTGCTTGGAAACTATCACGTTGCGTCCTGACACTGTCAGTGTCATTTGTCTAAGCATAATTTTCCCAGGAACACTTCTTCTGGGTTTGGAAGCCAGATCATGAAAACTACTCATATTATTCAAACTGGAAATGGAAAGACAGGAAGATGACAGCTTGCACTGAGGTATGCAGAGACTAAATTTTGGCTGTTAACTATAGCTTTCTTCTTTAATCTGTTTTCAGATAATGCGCCGTATTGTTCAGACTGCTAATAAACCCAGCTCTTGACAAAAGGAGAGTTATGGTATTAATTTTCTAATTTACATTACATTACAACCAAACTGTTGCATATTTACCTTGTAACTTTGTGAGATAATTTGTGAATTATTATTTCTAGCATATAACGCAAAAAAAAACCATCATGATGAATGTGAAAGTCAATTGTAATTCATTGTCATTTCATTAATACCGGCTACAAATTTCCATCTAATAAATTAAGAGCAAGTTTGTTACACTGATATTGTAACAAACTCCTGTTTTCAATTACTTTTAAAGTCAAATTATCTTTCAAGTCAAGAAATAGTGAAAAGGGGGTAAAGCAAAGTTTTATATGATAGCTCTGTCAGGAGATAATTTAAAGTGCATGTTGTCTGGAAATACTCTAAGCCTTACTGATTGATCCTTTCTTAAGTATACCTTTCCAAATGACTCATTTGACATGTGTTTTTCATGGATCCAGAGAAATGAGGGTGATAGGAAAATTCGCTAAGGTTCTCAATCACTTGTCAATAGGTAAAACTGCAACTCCAAGAATAAATAACAAAAATAAATGTTAATAATCTATCAACTTCCAAACTACAACAAAGAAAAATCAAAATGGAAATAACATGACCTTGTAGTCACTTTAATTTCTACATTTGAATACTAAACTAAAAAGAATCCATAGCTTTGTATGCTGGTAACAATAATATCCTGAATGACAGAAATCAACTCTAAGAGACTTTGCAAGAATTAAAACACCACAGAAACCTAAGAGATACCACTAAAGGATCCTCAAAATGTAACAACAACGTAAGTGGTCAAAATAATGGGCTGTTTGGTTTATTTCCCCTATACACAAAACATTCTATAATCTTTATCAAATCTTATTCATCAAGAAGATCTGTGTTGCGATTAAAGTCCTGAAAACCAGAGCTCTCATATGAATCTATAATCATCTACTACTTAGAAACTGTAATCAATTAAAGTAGGTATTAAACAATTTTATTTATGATCTCTTCCTCATTAACTAATATATACTTGTAAACATAATAATTGCAGCACAATACATCATAGATTGTTAATAAAAAATGATCAAAATGTTTTTATAAAGCTTAGAGAAAGAACCACTGACCCACAAAAGTATGAGGATGCAGCACAAGAGTTTATTAAGTAACACAAATGGCTAATAAAACAAATTATTATACCAAGAGCACATTATAAGATGGCAATGTCTTAAAATATCGAGATAATATAAAATTAATCTATAAATTAACACTGAATTTTTAAAATAGAATTCAAACTGGACACTTAAAGCATCTTTATAGACTCTAATATCCTCTGTGCACATTAGCACTACAGGACATTGTGACACTTAAAATTTTAAACAACGTAAATGAATACTGTTTAGGAGGTAAAATGAAACCTGAGGGCTTGATTACTTTCCTCCTAAAGACAACTTCCTAGATACTGGTCTTACACTGGATACAGATACAAATAATAAAGCAGCTTTATATGGTCCTTCACACATTCATTTAACAAAACGCAGTGACCAAATAAACACAGTTCTGGATGTATGCAAAATACTTCTTTTGCATGTGATTAAGACAAGAAAGAAGAAGAAAATGCTTTCTCTTCCTAAGCGCTATGATGCACATTACAAGCAATCAATCTGGTATCTACTGACCACTGACAATATGCAAACAGGTAAAAGAAAGAACTGACTTATTTCTTCCTGTGCCTTAGTACAGGCAAGTAGTGTTCTAAAGAGTTTCTTTAACTCTCTTAATTTCTGATTAACAAGTCCATTAGGAACTAAAGTAAGTACTTTTTACAAACTAATTAAAACAATAAACACATCTCCTATACAAATAATTTATAGCCAGATGAGAAGCCAAATTTCAGGAAGAAACAAAATCCATAGTACATACTTAAAAAGGGTTGTACCTTTTTGATGAAGTTGGCCTTTATAAGATAACCATTTTTTAAGCTAATAAAATACTTTACTTTGATCCCCTCAAAGTTGTATAAAGCAAAATAAAGAACTGTCTGAAAACATACACTATTACAGCTCTTAAACTTTTGTAAAATTGCATTTTCAGCTTGTCATGTCTAGCAGAAAAATCAAAACGCTAGTCTTGAATGTTAGTATTACTCAAATGAAAACCTCAGTAGTAGCTCTAACACTTCACAAAAGTCTATGCACCAACAGTGATGGATTATTTTATTTAACGGTGGCCAGCTATTTCAACAAAACGTCTTAACAGATGAGGCAAATAAGGACTGTGGCCCTTTAGTTAAATGACTTTTAAAATAATACAAGCTTGCAAAAAATTCTGCATTCTACCAGTATTAGAATAACAATTCACACCAATAAATACAATATTTTTATTCCTTTCAATTTACAACAATTAGTGCAAATCACCTACAAGAGCATTTTTATACAAAATAATTACACATTGTCTTTTAAATCATATTTCACAAAGGGACCAGTGAAGGACATGAATCTATTCCATTAATGTCACTATAAACTTCTATCAGGCAACAATTAATGAATAGCTAGTAAGGAAGAACTAAAAAATATCTTTACATGTAAATGTATATTAATTGAGAAATATCTGAAAAATTATCCAATCTAAATCTGTATTTTACAGCCACTTAAAGAATGGAATCAATTCAGTTAGTTATAGCTGTAGCAGTCAGATTGTAAGATTAGGATTGAAATTTTTTAAAAATGAAAGAAAGCACTTCATATAAAACTCTACCTTAAGGTCAAGTGCTCTCATCACAGCATGAGAGAATCAGCCCTCTCCACCCCTGGAACACATCTGCTCGTCCCTCGATGAACTGACCTCCATCTGCTCATGCCTCTGGGAATTACCAGCAGTACGACCTGCTGCAGTGTTCAAGCTGCACATCACTTTGTATCTCCTCTCCCGTAACTGACTAACTATACTCTAATAAATAACACAGACTCTGACTTTACAGTGTAAATCAGGTAAAGGAAATGGTGGCTAGGGGTCACCCTCATTTTATTTACAAAGCCCAGCACAAACATCCACCTTCACTACACTGTACGATATGTACCTACAGAGCTGTGAATCCTGCTGGCAGGCCTAGAGAATGCCCTGGAGCGCACTACGGGGAGAAGGCCTCCCTTTTCAGACAGAACTGCTTGTAAAGCATGCGTGTCTCAGAGTATAACACTAATGCTATATAAACTTGCAAAGTGCTGATTCTGACAGGAGAAAAACTTCTGCCTTCACCGGCCCTGCAATTCTAAGCTGACTCTCTTAAACAAGTTCCAATTGTTAGAAACTATTTCAGAAAATTAAAATGAGTTTTAGAATATATATATTCTCCTCTGAAGCATAGCCCTCAATTTCTTGAATAGATTTTGATGCAATATTCATATATTATCATGCTGTGACTCAAGTAGACACGCTGGGGACTTATGTTTATAAAATAAGTAAATGTTTTTGAAAAGAGTGGTTTCATTAATAGGCTATAAAAAGGAAACAGAATACCGTGAATATTATTAGCTTTTGGTCAGTGTTGTTCACACAGTAAGTACAGAATCAGGTAATCATTCAAGAAATACATGAATGACAGTGACATGTAATTTCTAAACTTAAAATGGATAAAGACCCAAGCTACATTTTGTTTTCACTTTCAAACATAACCCTAATTTTAAGTCCTTTTCTTGAAACAATGAAATTAGTTAATTGTGGACAAAGGCTGTGTTCTGTGATTCATCTGTGCACTCCAATGCTGTTCTCCTAAGTGTAAAACATTTAACTGAAGTTATGAGAATAAGGGAATTATATTTTCTGTGTTGTAGATGAAATGGATATAAACTCTTCACCAAAGGGATCTCATAAGAAGAGTAAGTAACACTCCTTAGGAATTGATGGTAAGGTAAGGCGATGGTTGTTCTCCAAATGCTGCTGCTGATAAGCCAAACCCACATTACCTAGGAATTTCTTACACATGTAAATTTTCAGTTTGCACCCAACCACTACGGAGATCAGAAACTCCAGAGGAGGGAGGAGGAGTAAGGTAGGGAGAGAAAGGACGTGGCGGAGGCTCGAGCCTCAACATGCACTGTATAAAAACCTTCCCCGTGATTTGGATGTGTGATAGTCTGAAACCACAATTATTTAGTACCATGTCATTCTTCTCATATTTCAAAAACATTCAATTTCCTTCACAGTATTTAGTGCTCTCTTTTCCTATTCTGTAGGAAATAAGCATGAATTACTTCCCGTGTCATCTTCTCTTACATATGTCTGTGAAATATGAACCACTCTGCGAGTTTTCTTACGCAAACATGTTTTCTTCTGAGTAACAACTGGAACATCTACGGACTGGGGGTAACTGTGTACTATGGAAATACAGGAATGTTGCAGAGATGATCAGAAGAAAAGGTTTCATTCCACACCCTTCGAAAGTTCTACATTTTTGCAGAATCCACCATCTTACCAATTATGCATCTGTAACATGTGACAAAGATCTTAGGGGTACATCAAATATGGAAGAGCACATACACTACTGAAATCTGTAAGACAGAAAATGATGACTATGAAGTATTCTAATTCGAATCAAGGTGAAAAAGATTCTGATTAAGTGAGATCAAAACCACAACCCCTAGTGATTTCTCAGAAACAAAAAGCCTAAGATAAAATAGTCACTACTACGTTGGCCTTGTCTCCCCACACACTGACAGGGCTACAGCCTAATGTACTAGCATGGCCCACTCAGACGCCAGGAATCTGTCGTATTTCTTAAAACCACCTGTATCTCAGCAATAATAGTAACTACCAACTTTTCATAAGCTTAAATAGTGATCATTAGTCTTTATATTCTTAAAAAACAGTGATTTTGCTACAGGTTACTGATATCTTTCCTCCAATGTTATGAGACCTTCAATAAACTAATCTGTGCATATGTAATTATACATACTTTACTTTTACTAAATATCCAATCATGACTATAGATTATTAGCATACAGAAACTCTATAATTATACTTGCGTTTGATTATCTATACACTGCCTACTCTAGTCCTAAAGTTTCAACAATATTCAGTTGCCACTATACCTGAAAAGTCCAAAAGCACATACATAAATCAGGAAATTCCAGGAGATATGCTGACAATTTACATGCATATGTGCACTTCAAAGCAGCGAACAGTCTCTTCTAAGTCAGTTCAAGACTGAGTGATGGAATATTCAATGTGTTTCTGTCGTTGACTTAAAACTGGATCATTAAAGCTTGAAGATCAAATTTTAATTCTGTAAACCTCTGGAAAGATACAGATGTTGATGATCTTTCAGCAGGCAGGTTGTACCATCAACAAGCTTTGTATGTCCCTCATTTCATAACTTCGTATTTGAGGTTGAAACAGTAAAATTACTCTGAGCACAGAGAGTTCATATTAAACAAAACAGTAAGGACTGAGTAAACCTGGGTATCTCTAAAAAATACACAGAGATCAACACAGATATATTTGTATTCATAAACTTAAAACTGAAAGCTGTAAAAATGTCATGCTGATGTTAATGCTTTCGTACTAGGAATAACGAGATAAAAACAGAACGTCACGGGGTTCACAAGTCTCTCACGGAAGCAACATCTACTGTGAGTCTGCAGGTGTCTCCCAGCGCGGCAGCGCTTCGGATGTGAACGAGCACGGTAAGCGGACAGGACAGGGCAGCGGACTAACGGAAAGCATCGCCCTTCTTGCTAGTCACCGGACTGTCCGACAATAGGGAGAAACATGTAACGTCGCCTTTAAGTCCCAGAAGTTTCCATAACTCTTCAGAGAGTCCAAACACTGCGTCATCATTTGCCCAAGAAGCAAGAAGGAAAAACACTGGATAGGACAATTCTGAAAAGACATTTATGCAATATTTTCCAACAATGCACATATTGAGTATTTCTGATTAGTGCCAAAGAGAAAAAGAAAAGCAAGGGAAAGAAGAAAATCCACAGAGGCAAATTAACTGCCTTGTCAGACTAAGTAACAATCCCGTCGATTACGTTCTATCCAAACCTGCCAAGTAAAGGCAACTTCCTGCAGGGATAAGCTCATGGCAAAGACAAGAGGGCTGTCCTCCTTTACTGTATGTACTCTACCGAGAGCAATCCACACTCTAAATCACATTTACAAAAGAGGTTTCCAGGGTTGCCTCCGAGGATGAGCAGTGGCAGAGTTGGGTGGGTCTCATGAAGGGCATCTACACAGTAAAGTGATAAGAAAAGAACATTAACATTTAGAGATCAGAGCAGCTCTACACTACGTCTTACGAAACATTCTCATTATACCACAGCAGATTCAAGTAACATACGGTCTAGTCCAGAGACAGATAACCGGAACCTGAATGCCATGATCTCGTATAGCTTCTCACTAAGTCTGTGCTGTTTTATCTTTTCAAACACTGAGTTGCCTCCTCTTGTATTACTATTACTATTTCTATTACTGTTGGTTGTCAAAATACATCTACTGTACCAAAACCAAAATATAAAGACAAGGGTTTGTATTCACAAAGAGAAAGATATATCTGATTAATTTTTAAAATAGTAGTATGCTACTTTTTCACCGAACGTAGCAATTTAACAATGCCTGAGAAAGTATGTGATTTGAGCTAAGAACAGCAAACCTAACCAGTATGTTACAGGACTGGTTACATTCAGACAGCCTCAGGGAGGGAATTTTCTAATATTTATCCCTGGGCTTACACCACCTTCTTCTTTGTTTAAAGATTACATTAGAAATGTTTGGTTACCATTTTTTTACAACCTTTGTATCCTTATTTTAAGAGAAATTTTAAGTGTTTCATGGTTAGAAGCAACATTTCAACTGTGGTAAACATAAGATTCTTACATCTATGTAGATGAGGTGAAACTGCAGTGTAAGGCACGCATCAGAGAACAAGTTCAATTTGCACCCTTAACAATTAGAGATGTGTTTAATGCTTCCAAGTTCCATTGAGAAAAAGAAAGTGAAAAGTGGCACACAGACAAATAAAGCGCTGCTGAGGAGAGGACCAACCCAACTGAGTAACTCCAAAGAAAGCAAAAACAAAGCTGCACAAGACAAAAATAATACATCGTGAAACAGTTTTCAAAGAAACACTATAATTATAAATACCTTGAGAAGAAAAAGAACTGAATTCTAAGGTGATACATGCGAACGTTTCTCGTGCTTCAGGCTCTAAGGGAAGCTCAGATTCACACAATCTGAATGTGGGAAGTGCTCTGCTGGAAGGGTAGGAACCACTGGAGAAGCATAATGCAAGAGGAAGCAAGCACGTCATTTGTAACACACGTTATAAATTTCACCAGGGGTCCAAGCCAGTCTCTCAGCCCCGCTCTCGATCTCTCTGGCCAGTCTTTTGCTTGCTGATTCCTTGGTCTGCTCGCCCCGGCAACTGACACCACAGTCTTTATACTGAGCCCCACCTTCAGTTCTAAATTTTAATTCTCAATGACCAAACTGATCAGGCTGGGTTCAAACTTGGCGTCTTTCTGCCTCGGCCTCCCAGACTGCTGGGAGGACTGGTGCACAACACGCTCAACGCTTAGTCCCCAGGAGTACCGAAATAAGCAGCATACTTTGCTTTGGCTTCCGTCTCCTCAGGACAAGGGACTGCAGAATTTTAAAGTAAAGACCAAATTTTGGTTGGCTTATGAACCTGGCAAGCTTGCTTAGAAATTAACATAGAAAAAATGGGCTTCACTGATACATTCCTGGATCAACATATTCTCCACGTTCACAGCTGGAACTGTCCGCCAGGAGCACGTGTCTGCTTCTGCAGTCCTAAGAAAGTCGCATCTCTTAGAGCAGTGCAGGGTGGTGAGCTGGTGTGCTTAATAATTAGTACATAAGCTATACACGTCAGGACGGCCTAAATTCAATCTCTAGTTTCAGCACTTAGGGCGAGCAACTCTAAGCTTTTTCACCCATAAAGTAAGAATAAAATCCATCTGCTCTGTAAGGCTGTCGTGAGGATAAAGTGAAATGAAATACGGAAAACACTATCACAGTGACGGGAGCACAGGGAGGCCTCAGTAAATCTTGGCAACTACTGTGAAGGCCGGGGACTGTCAAACACTAGAGGATTATTTTTCTAGGCAAGAAAATTATATTTTAGTACATTACAATTTCTGTAATGTAACGTTTCAGATAATACAATTTAATATGTAATTGGAACAATTTACATCACACATCATTTGGGGCCTTTGTACCTTAGTTACCTCAGGAGTAACATGCAGATACACACATCGCATAAGAAAGAAGTAAATGAAGTAACATATTTAGAGCTGAGAGCAGAGACCGGGACATACTAAAAACCTACGATTAGCGCTATCAAATTCCCAGTCCAAAAAAATACTTAAATAAATTATTTTCCGTGGTTCAGTCACAAATGTCTAAAAAATGAGCTCTTCTACATTATTTCTTAATATCCATCAACTCTGCAATTTGTATCCAATGCTAATTTTAAATTCATTTCACATCTTCCTCCATTAAGTATTACAAAGTTCACACATCCAAAGCAATACAAAACCCATACATGCATAAAGCTTGTTTAAAACACTGAAAGACGGTTAATTTAGAAAAGAATCAAAGAAAAGGCGGAAAACATAAGCTAGAAGTTGTGTGTCACAGTGGCCTCGTATCCATGCATCAACATTTTTAAGTAAGGCCCGCCAACTCCCTTGGGCGGAGAAACTGCCGATTTCTGACCGAACGCCTCAAGCAGGAAGGGTTTGAGTCCACCTTCGGCAGAAGCTTGTTCTGTCACTGCTTAGTACTGATGCTGGACAGATAGTTCAAATTTCAGCTGCACGCTGAGGTTACAGACCTCAGGTTTCTTTGTAGAACTCTATGTTGTTTTGGAATCCCTGAGTTACAAAAGTTAGAAATTTTCAGGAAAAAATGAGGTTGAATGCAATTTTACAGAGAAAATGACTCTGAGGTATCTTGATTCAAAGGTCATTTATCTAGCCAAGAAAGGAACTGTGACTAGAGGCTGAGTTTTTTGAAATGATTATTGTAACCATTAATGTACATAATAATCTTGGACAGTGAGCAATATTAACATACTGCAGTGAGAAGTCAGTCAGAAATTGCAAAAATAAATCTTGCTGAAAAATAAATGAATAAAACAAGAAATATTTCATTGCAATACATGGCTGAATTACAAGTTTCTACTCTAAAACTGAATACCTCAGAAATACCACCCTTCGCTATGTAATATATACTACGTTCAGGCTTCTGTTTTCTTTATACAAATTATATTATTTGACTACGTTTCATTTAATTGAAAATAAATTTAAACATTCAAATAGTTAGAACACTTTCCATAAACATTTGCAAATCATACAAAATTGCATGAAGTTTTGTAATATTTTGCTATTGATTTTAAAGTCAAAGACTGTTATACAGTAAGAGTGAAATGTGTGAAGCAGGTCAGCCGTTCCCATGTATAAGAAAATCATCAAATTACCTCAATTACAGGAGAAAAGTATACAACTAAACATTTTTTATATAAATTTTATCAGAATAATACCTTAAAAAAAACTCAGTGGCATGTAGGCTTCCTTTATTTATATATTATGATGGAAATTTTCTGATATTTTAGCATCACATAATATCTAATAGCTAGATTTTTTAAATGTCATAAACAGAATCCCTTAAAATTGTGAATAAAAGTAAATACACTAAATACTATAAAATTATAGGTGATACCGTATGTGTTATTTTTGTAAATGTAATTTTATAATGAACAAAACTTCTTAAAAAATGTAAACTTCTACTTATTGCCCTAAAAATATATTTAAATTGAGACTTTGCTTTCTTAGTACAATCTCAGATTTATAGAAAAACTGAGCAAGTGAAACACAGATTCGCATACACATCCTCCTCAGCACATACATATACACCTTTAAATGTCAATGCTCAAGTCCTGCTTTCACCTCAAGACCACTTCGACAGCTCGCGGGCAGGGAAAGCTGGGGGACATGGTAGGCAGAGGTAGAGGAAGAAACGAACACGCTGTGACTGAGAGTGTTCCCGCTCCAGGTGCTGATGCAGTGCAGTGATGCGGAGCAAGTCACCGAGCCAGGTGCAAAGGCATCAACAAGGACCTTCGGGACGTAAGGAAGGCGAGCGGTCAGGGGAGAATTGCGCTGGCGGCTCATCAGCCTCCAGCATGATGCACCTCGGGTCAGGGAAGGCACTCAAATAACAGCTCACGACACAGCAGAGATAGTTATTCTTAAAGAGGTTCAAACTTCAGGTAAAGATTTTGTATAGCTCCCTTCTGAGTTCTCCCAGCTCTGAATTTCTGGTACACTAAGAAATTAAATCGGGATTTAAAATGATCGGACTTACTGTGCCCCAAGCTAATTCCAAGGGGTCACTGGGCAAGGCGGAGATGCAGCTGCACGCACTGAATAACCGACACTAAACCCGGCGCCAGGCTGCTCTCAGCAGTCACTCTGAATCTGCCAGCGCTGGCTTCTGGTAACCTGCTCTCTGTGCTGGCGCTCACACTGTCTTCTCCCAGCCACACCGCTGTCATGTAAGGACAACAGGTTTAAAAGTCTCCAGGGTGACGACTGTTGGGGCAAAGTACTGTCAATGAAACAAACAGGCACCAACAAGAAAACTACTGAACTGGCTGAAATGATGTTGAGAGTTCTTCAGTGCCACGGTGATACTCCAGGGAACCCTTTGTGGGAAACACAAGCAAACACTGACCAACGCAAGAAACGCGCCCCCTGGGGTTCCCTATTAACCCCCGCAGCTGTCAATCGAAAGCTCCTGTCAAGCTCTTCTAAATGGTGGTAAAATCCCACACATCTGAACAATTCTTAGATACAGCTCGCTTGTCAAGTCATGTAATTTTCTTCTCAGAGACACAGAGCAATCAAACAGCGCTGCCAGGACATATTACGGGGCTCCTGGGCTCTGCTGAGGCGGGCACTGTACGAAACGATATCTGAACTCAAACAATGCCTGGCTCCATTTCTCCCAGAAGCAAGGTCCCTGTGCATATTCAAAACTCTGGGATACAAGTGACTGGAGATATACTTGACAGCTACTCATGGGAAATTAGGCAAAATCATGATTTTTCCACAGGAAACACAGATGGTCCAAAAGGCTGTCATCCCAGTTGCACGTTACCCGCAAACGTCCATACGTTCACAGACTCAAGAACTAAAGAAAAAC